ATCACCATCCTGGTCAGGTGGTCGGTAATATATCCCTACCACTGTATTCTTATTATTAGAGCATGGTATTTCTATCCATAGAGAGTCTATGGTACAGTTTGATTCATTTACGATTATTACTTCATTTGATTCTACACTTTCTTTCACATACAGTGCCACTGTCCCACCAGCACGACCTGTTCTGTCCTTCCGATATATTTTGTACCCTGGTATTACTGTATCCCATCGATTATCCTCATTCCACCAAGTTTCTGTGATGCCTATTATATCAATATCCTCATTTAATACAAGGCACTCTACTTCACCCATCTTATTATTTAGACTTCTAGCATTGGTATATAAGCACTTTAAAAACTTGTCTCCTTTTAGCTGTCTGCCATTACACGATGTAATTGAATGGGATTCTTTTTTATTTGACTGTTTCTCATCAGACCCTGCCTGTATTTTATCATCTTCCACCCTCTCCTCCTTACTAGGACAGAGAGATTCTCTATTAATAGATCCTCCCTTAAGGGATGTCCAAACCATGTGCTCCTCCGCAGCTGTCAGCTTTCCCTCAGCCCTTAACATTAAAAAGGTCGTAGAGTAGTTTTTAAATTAAGTGCCAGCAATCTGGTTCCATTTTGGTTTAGGTGGAGACCATCCTTCCTATATAGGCTCCCCCTTTCCCAAAAGTTTCCCCAGTTCCTAATAAATCTAAACCCCTCCTCCGTGTACCATCGTCTCAGCCACGCATTGAGACTCTGCAGTTCTGCCTGTCTGTGGAACTAGGAGCATCTCCGAGAATGCTACCATGGAGGACCTGGACTTCAATTTCTTACGTAGCAGCCTAAATTTGGCCTCCAGGACCTCTCTGCTATCCGTCCCTATGTCATTGGTACCTACATGTACCACTACCACCGGCTCCTCCCCAGCACTACACATAAGTCTATCTAGATGTCCTGAGAGATCCGCAACTTTGCACCAAAACAACAAGGAGTCCAGTGGCACCTTAAAGACTTAACAGATTTATTTGAGCATAAGCTTTCATAGGTAAAAACCCCACTTCTTCAGATGCATGGAGTAAAAGTTACAGATGCAGGCATTATTATATTGACACGTGAAGAGAAGGGAGTTACCTCACAAGTGGAGAACTAGTGCTGACAGGGCCAATTTGATCAGGGTGGATGTAATCTACTCCCAACAGTAGATAAGGAGGTGTCAATTCCAGGAGAGGCAAAGCTGCTTCTGTAACTTTGCACCAGGCAGGCAAGTCACCATGTGGTTCTCCCGGTCATTGCAAACCCAGCTATCTATGTTTCTAATGTTCGAATCGCCCATTACTAATACCTGTCTCTTCCTAATAACTGGAGTTCCCTCCCCCAGAGAAGTATCCTCAGTGTGAGAGGATACCACAACATCATCTGGAAGGAGGGTCCCAACTATGGGATTGTTTCCCTCTGCTCCAGTTAGATTCTCTCATGTGCAAGAACCCATTAATTGGCACCTGCCAGTCTTTGGTATGCTAGTGAAGTAGTAGTTCTAAAGGACAATGAAATGGTATTCAGGCATTACAGCTTTTAAATGATCATTATGTATTTATTTATGTTACAGTAGCATCTAGGAGCCCTGATCAAGAATCGGGGCCCCATTGTGCTAGGCTTTGAAAAGGGCAAGTATCAATACAGATAGTCAAAGCTCCAGAGAGCTAGCAAACTACAAGGTAGACAGCATACAACATGGAGTGGAGGTGGGGGATTTGGTAACAATACCACAGTTTACTATGAAAGGAGAACTCTCAGAATTTCACTTGCCAAACTAATGCCAGATGGTAGCAATTTGTAAGCATCACAACAGAGGCAGGTTTTAAAGAAGGATTTAAAGGAGCGCTGCACATTTTAACGGGTATTTTTCCCCCACACAGGGAGGGCTGGCTGGGGGGAACACACAAAGTTGCATAAGGGGGAAGCAGATGGAGGTGGTTATCACTGGTGGGGCAAAGGAGAGGGTTGATGTCTCAGGAAGTGGGTAGATCTCATCAACGGTGGGGGATTAAGTGATGAAGCACCTTCAAGGCCAAGATGAGGGGTTTGTGATGGAACAGGGAGAGCTAGTGGAGAGGGGCACAAAGAGGAGGGTGAGGAGGCCTAAGCAGGGAGCCGGGAAGATGATCCTGGCAGCAGCACTTTGAATGGATTTTGGGCAGGGAGGAGGAAATGTGGCTGGTGCCAATAGTAGAGGTGCCAAAGGATGAGGGCTTGAACAAGCACCTTGGCAACCTGCACAGACAGGTGCAATGATATCTTAGAAATGTTCTGTGATCATTGATTAAGCAGGATGTAATCAGCATCAAATGTGATTGTTTCCAGTGCTGGCTAGGGGGGAAATGGCAAAGGAATAAAAGAAATGGGAGGAGAGAAAGTATTAAGGGCTAGTCTACATGGGAAAGTTGTACTGGTATAAGCTAAGGTGTGAATTTAAAGGGGTTTAAGATAAACCAAAAAAAACCCCTCTTATTCCAGAATAAGAGTATCTACATGGGTGTGTGTTTGTGTGTGTGTGTGTGATACCCAATATAACCATCCCAGTATAATATGTAAAACTTTCCTGTGAAAACAAGCCCTAAAACAGATTTTTGGGGGGTGGAAATCTAGGAGTGAGGGTGAGAAACTGAGCGGGGAAAAACCCTAAAAAAGAGGTGAGTGAGAAAAACAGATTCAGAGAGAGATAACTGGGGGGGCGGGGGGCGGAGGGGAAGGACAGTCAGGGGAAAATTTTTGAGCTTCAGTGGCAGAGGAAATGAAGCATTAGAATAAATGAAAGAGTTAAAAACTGTGGAAGAGTAAAGCAGTAAGACAAGGCCCTGAGGGGAGCCGGTGAAAGTCAGACCTGAGAGAGGCGTATAGCAGAAGCTCGGAAATTGGGGAAAAGGATGCAGGTGAGGCAGAGGAAGCAAAATGGGAGGCAGAGATACAAAATAGACTAGAAAAATGTGTTTGATTTCTTTTTAATAACCTCCCTGTACTTTAGCCAGAGGGATGGCTACATGACCTAATCCCAAGAAATATTTCAGCTTCCTGAAACGGTTGGTTCAAATCATGCTAAGACCAGTGTCTGGCCCTTCATGCTTCTGAGGCAGATAATTACATTTCCATTTCCACTGGTCTGTGTATCTCTTTCAGATGAAGCTTTAAAAACTGCCATCCTGTCTTTCCCGTATAAACACTAGAGAACCCACAGTGCTTTCCGTAAGTACAGGGGTTTCCCCTTGGTGGCTTTGACGAAAGCCTCCTTTGCATCCCCTGCCAGGATTGCTGGCACAGTTCTAGTGCACTGGATGGTTGAACTCAGTGTCACACAGGTTTGAGGTCTGCACTAGAAAATTAAGTTGGCTTAACTATGTTGCTCAGGGATGTGAAAAATCCACACCCCTGAGCAGCATAGTTAAGCTGACCTAACACCCAGTGCAGACTGTTCTAAATTGATGAAGAATCCTTCCATCAACTGAGCTACTGCCTCTGACCTATGCCGATGGGAGAACCCCTCCTGTCGGCATGTGGAGTGTCTACACTCAAGCACTGCAGTGGTGCTACTGTAGCATTTTAAACGTAGACCAGCCCAAAGTCTTATTCTCAAAATTACTTCTAATTGTCTGGGTTAGGAATGCAGTCACAGGGATTTAAAACTGGCTGGAGGACAAAACACTGGTAAATGTAGAGTAGGGAATAAGATGCATGAGCAGGGAGCTGGATTAGATGGCTTTAGCGGTTCTTTAATTCTAGATCCACAAGAAAAGGGCAAGGGTACATGGCAATCCATCAAGTTGGAAGAGAGATCTATAGAGGTACAAAAGGGATTGGTGTTGGGTCCAGTCACACTTATCATAGATTCCAAGGCCAATATGGACCATGGTCGTCCTCTAGTCTGATCTACTCACATCTTCATTAATGTTCATGAAGAGAGAGTAAACAGCATGTTAAGGAAATTCACTAATGATGCCATGTCTGTGTGAAGACTGAGAGAGCCAAAATATGGGCAGGAAATAACGAAACAAGGTTCAGCACTGAAAAATGCAAACTCCCTTACTTTTGTAGTGATAATCAAGATGGGCCATTTCCAGCAGTTGACAAGAACCTGTGAGAAACAGTGTGCGTGTGGGGGGGGAATAAACATGGGGAAATAGTTTTGCTTTGTGTGATGACACATCCACTCCCAGTCTTTATTCAAGCCTAATTTAATGGTGTCCAGTTATCCCTACAAAAGGTTTTTTTTTCTCTCCTGCTGGTAATAGCTCACCTTAACTGATCACTCTCGTTATAGTGTGCATGGTAACATCCATTGTTTCACGTTCTCTGTGTATATAAAATCGTCCTACTGTATTTTCCACTGCATGCATCCGATGAAGTGGGCTGTAGCCCACGAAAGCTTATGCTCAAATAAATTGGTTCGTCTCTAAGGTGCCACAAGTACTCCTGTTCTTCTTGCGGATACAGACTAACATGGCTGCTACTCTGAAACAATGCAAAACAAGACAGACATTGAGCAGATGGCATTTGGAGTTCACTTAGAATCAAAGAGCAAATGTATTGCTCCCTCCAGTTTTTAGACTGTTTTCAAATATGGTACACATTTCTCAGAGTACTTAACATTTCCCTACATTTCTTTTAAATGGAGGAATTGCATTTAGGACATTAGTCAATAGCAACAGGCAGGCTTTGTTTTCTTCAAACTTTATTACTGTAACTCTTTCTTGCCTGTCTTGTGTTCTATGCATTGATAACAAAGGTGGTATATAAATGAAACTGCTTCATTTTAGCTGGGTCAGTCCCAGCTCTGGCTACATGGTGTTTTTAAAATGGGTTGTGTCCGTGTTCAGTGTAGCTGGGAGTCTGTCACACTTCTTAAGATGTATAGAAAGGTAACTAAAAGGATAGATGTTAATGGATTATTCTGTTTCCATTTCACCATAAAAAAGAGTGACACTGACTGCAATCCAATCTAATGCAGAGGATTCTCCCAGTGATAAGTGGTACTTTGTCTTGTGTGTTGAAAGCAACTAATCAAGCCCTGCTCTCCAGTACAGCATTACGGATTGATTGCCCACAGGCTCCCAGCTCTGAAGTCAAAGGGGGTTGCTATGGGAATCGGGAGGGCACTTGAAGACAGGATCTGAAGCTTGTGTTTCCCTGTCCAAGGCAGCTGAAGTCAGAGAAAAGGGAAACTAAGAGGAGGTGGCACACACACTGCCACAGCAAAATGCATGCATGTTAGAGGAAGGATCTTCATAGCATGAGGCTGTGGCTTATAGAAAAGCAAAGACACTAAAGGATCTGGCAGTGGTGGCTCAGCATTGTTTGGCTAATCCCTTTTTCCTGCTATATAGCTGACAGTAAGAAAGTACAGTAAAAGTCCAACTGTAGCAAGATGGGATCCGGCTCCTCAACTTACCGGCCCAAGTGTATTTATTTGGATATTGATGGAAGAATTCAAAAGGTACTTTTCTTATGTTTCACAAACTGGTGTCTCTTTCAGTAAGCAGCAGCAATAATGATGGCAGGCTGTATTTATTTTGTGACCTATAAAATATAAAAGGTTGTTTATATTCAGCTCTGGTATGGATCTTGACTCTTTGTAAAATGCTCTTGAGTTACTTCTGTTTTGCGAATGAATATAGGGGTTTTTTAAAGTGCAGTTAGGACTCTCTGTGCTGCAGGGTGTGTGTGTGTGTGTGTTCCTGATTTAATAGTCTTCCAGGGTTGCTCTACAAGAGCAGCCCTTTACGTGTTTGCAAAGTTTTGCATGTGGAAAGGGGCTTTTCTGGTTTTCACCTGATCAATAGTAACTGGAAAAGAAGCTATGTTGCATTATTTTGAGATTGTTTAGCACGTGGATATTAACGGTAGGAAGACATTTTAAAATATACTCTAAATGGTGTATAGGAAGCTATTTCATTCGTTGTTATAATCTATTGTGTATTTGTATCAGCAGGTAGGGATCCCCAATAACATTGGCAAAGTTCTTCTTCCGTATCATTAAACTTTTATCAAAACTTCAGATATTGTGTGCTCCGTGCGATACAGAACATAGAGGAAGATGCAGTCCCTGCTCTGAGGAATGTTTAGTAACTAAAAAACAGACAGCTCAGAATATGTGAAGTATATTAGACATGCATTTTACACATAAACACCCTACGGTTTCTATTACTAATTTATCCTAGATCATCTTTCAGCTACAAATCAAGTGCCTTATCTTATACAGCAAATAGAAGACACTAAGCTATTAAAGAGTGATCTCAGTGTGGCTTGCAAAATTCAAAATAGCCATCTTTTAGGGTTCAAGCCTAAATTATTATTTTACCTAGCTTCAGCTTTTCCTTTGGAAAGAAATAGCATTATGCATTTCCCACATGTTTTAAATGACCTTATGAACACGTAATTTAGGATTAGCTGCCTACAGTCATATCCAAATGTGTTGCCTTTGCCTACGGTCTCTGCCTCCCCCCCCCCCACTGCTCTGGTCACCTAGAAGACTTAACCAATTCTCCTGCATAAGGCACGCTCACAGAAACATGCAAATAGAGAATCAGAAATGCAGTCAAAATAAGACCTTGAATAATGAAGAGCTGCACAAGTTTCTCCAGAGCAGAATATTATCACCTCATCATCAGTCTGGGGTCTTTGAGTTGAAGGTGAAATCTCTGTTGCTGTCAGCTCTTCGTCACTAGCAGAAAGGAGCATCCAAACTCTCTTAAACAGGAGGATTTATGTTTTGCCACGGTTTAGCAGAGCTAGTTGCCTAATAATCCAAGGAAACGACACTTGCAGTGTGAAGTTCCCCAGCACCTTCAAAAATAGAAAAACAAAGGTTTTAATTTTTATTTTAAAAAGATAGAGATCATTTACATCATATTTACTAAATAATACTTTTCACTTCCTCCTGCTAAAACTTGAGCATTTCCCAGGATTAGTCTCTGGAGAGTAATTGTATTGTAGAAGAACACACCAGAGGCATGACTGCATGAAATAGCAACGCAAACTCCAGCAATATAAATTTTGCTCAATAAACATTATCTGTTTCTTTTGTCAGATGTGAAATTCCATCTGTGCAATGTTTGGAAGGATTCCTGCAGTAAAAATACAGAGTAAACGCGGGTTCATTCAGGGGTAAGCAGAGCATATCGCAAAGCTTCATGCCTCCTAATTAGACAAAAGGAATCCATAATCTTCCAAGGAATGCAGTATTTGTGATTTCTAGAGGCAGCTCTTTAAACTAATGCTGAACTACTCCTTACTTGACCCAGTACTGAAATACGATCATTATAAAATTGTTTAGGCTAAATCCTTTCAGACTCAAAGTCTGGCTGAACTGATGAACATTTCAGAGTATTGTAATGGAGGTGGGCATCTCATGATAATTATAATAATAAATACTTTTGCTTTTACATGGCCTGATTCTGACCTCACACCGTTTTTGCACTGGCGTACACCATTGACTTCTGTGGAGTTACTCCTCATTTACATGAGTTTAAGTCAGAGGACAATCAGACTTATTGAGTATTATGCCTGAGGATCTGGTATGTAGCACATTGCAGTTGAGGATCTGTTAATGAAAACATTCAGATTTAATTAAGTATCACGTCCTAGCAGGTAAGGGTACTGTTAGGTAAACTGAGGCACAAAGCAGTTACATAGCCTGCCCAAAGAGACCTGACTCAGTCTAACTGCTAGACCAGGGGTCACAGTATGTTGAATTCCTGGTGATCTGCAGAATGAAAGTGTTTGAGACCCCAGCAGTAGAATCATAGTCCAGGAAGGAACCTCGCGAAATCATCTAGTCCAGTCCCCGTCAGGGTAATCCGTTGGCGGGCCGCGAAACAGTTTGTTTACATTGACCATCCGCAGGCACGACCACCCGCAGCTCCCAGTGGCCGCAGGTTGCCCACCACTGATCTAGATCATCCCTGACAGGTGTTTGTCTAACCTGCTCTTAAAAATCTCCAGTGATGGAGAGTCCACAACCTCCCTTGGCAATTTATTTCAGTGCTTAACCACCCTGACCCTTAGGAAGCTTTTTCTAATGTCCAACCTAAACCGCCCTTGCTGCAAGTTAAGCCCATTGCTTCTTGTTCTATCCTCAGCGGTTAAAGAAAACAATTTTTCTCCCTCCACCTTGTAACAACCTTTTATGTACTTGAAAACTGTTATCATGTCCTCTGTCTTCCTTTCCCCAGACTGAACACACCCAATTTTTTCAATTTTCCCTCATAGGTCATGTGTTCTAGACCTTTAGTCATCTTTGTTGCTCTTCTCTGGATTGTCTCCAATTTGTCCACATCTTTCCTGAAATGTGGCGCCCAGAACTGGACACAATACTCCAGTTGAGGCCTAATCAGCATGGAGTAGAGTGGAAGAATCACTTCTCATTTCTTGCTTACAATACTCCTGCTAATACATCCCAGAATGATGTTTGCTTTTTTTGCAACAGTATTACACTGTTGACTCATATTTAGCTGGGTTTGCAAAGGATTGCAAAGGATTCACTCTGACCCCCAGATCCCTTTCTGCAGTACTCCGGCCAACTTTCACATGCTCTTTATTCATATGAGTAGTCGTATATGAGTACCCATAGGATTACAGTTATGCAGTGGCTCCCAACCTTTCCAGACTACTGTATCCCTCTCAGAAATCTGATTTGTGTACCCCAGCTTTCACCTCAGTTAAAAATGACTTGCTTACAAAATTGGACAATAAAATACAGAAGTGTCACAGCACACTATTACTGACAAATTGCTTACTTTCTCCTTTTTACCATATAATTATAAAATAAATTATTTGGAATATAAATATTGTATTTACATTTCAGTGTATAGTGTTTATAGAGCAATATAAACAAGTCATTGGCTATGAAATTTTAGTTTGTACTGACTTCGCTAGTGCTTTTTATGTAGCCTGTTGTAAACCTAGGCAAATCTCTAGAAGAATTGATGTACCCCCTAGAAGACCTCTGTGTACCCACAGTGATACATGTACCCCTGGTTGAGAACCACTGCAGTTATGCATGGTAATAACTGTCTGCAGGATCAGGGTCATAGTTCTTGATGATAGACCGCTAAAGACAACAGCCTATGAAAAATAGTGCAGATCATGATTCATGTAATTTGTTTCAACTTACCCTGTGACTCATCACATTTCAGTGAATTCAAGGGAGCTGATAAAATAGTTTCTTGTTAGTTAGTAATGCAGCAAATTAAGCAATGGGCACTCTAAAACACCCTGTCATGTTAAACTATTTGTACAGTACAGTTTAGTGAATATTTTTAGAGTAAAAAATGGTTTAAAACAGACTGTTCGGAAATTTGGAAGAGGGGATCAATATCCATAGTTAATGCTCCTTTCTGCATTCCCTTTAAAAGGTGGTATCTCTATTTAGCTGGCTGGGTATCTTTGGCATACTTCTTAGAGCCCCAAGCATTCCTCCAAACGCTTCAAAGGCATAAGTTTATGGCCACCATCCTTCTGGCCAGAAGGACTGCACTGGATCCACGCTGAGCTCTCATCACTTCCTGTACCAGTCACTACATCACTAAAAAGCGCACAGCTTCTGCTGCACTCCTCCTTCCCAAGGCATTCCTGACCAGGAATCTAGCCTGGAGCTCTCATGTGCCAGTGCTTAATTTATTCCAGGGCTGAGCCCCGGCGCCTCTCGGCTTGGCAGTTCAGAGCCCCAGCACTGTTGGACTTGCCGTGTCAGTTATGAAAGTAAAAAAAAAAAAAAAATGCTTGAACCCCAGCACCTAATTGCTTGAGCCCCGGCACCTCTTTAGTTACAAATTAAGCACTGACCAGTGCATATCACTGACCAGTATCGCACCATGTGCCCACCAGATAATTTCTCTTTACTGAGGGTTCCACCTGGAGATGTTTCTTCCAAAGCTCTCAGTTTGTGGATATTAAAAAATAGCAGAGGATAAAAAGTATGTTTGATCATACAGTCGTGTGTCTTGAAATCTCAATATGCAGGATCTTTCTGGTTTCTGAGCTTCATTTCAGAATCACATGCTGTCATTAGAAAAGTAATCACTTACTCTTCATCTGTGTACTGTGTTGAAGTGAATATCCTCAAAATATGCCAGTATTCTTGAGACAAGACTGGCCCATATAGATGTTAGATCTCTGGCCCCAACTGATCTAACATCCACCTCTCTGATACACAGGCAATGTGAAAAGCTAGTGGAGGGTTTAAGTTCTTGTATTGATGTTTCTCTCTCTTCCCCTGCCCCCAACTAGACTGCATAAACCAAGAATCAGGCATAACATTTTGCATAGACATTTAAAACTTTAGTAGGATAGTAGCAAACACAAAATGAGCATCCTATGTGTTGTATCCTAACCACGCTCCACAGAAAGTGAAATCATTTAGACAAGACTACCAATTATAATTATACCCAGCTCTTATTGTTTTTTAATCAGTAGGTCACAAAGCACTTTAGAAAA